ACTTTTGTCTTGTGTAGTGGCTGGCTTCTGGTTTTTCCAAGAAAATTGCCAAAAAAGGAAATTTTTTAGGAAATTTTTTTATCTACTATTATTATGTTTTGAGTAATCAATATAAATAAATACATATTTATTAATTATTTATCTATTTATTATTTAGTTTAATTTATTGTTTATTATTTTGTCTATTTATATGAGATAGCCTAATATTTGAGATATAACTTTATTAATTAATTTCAAATATATGTTATATTTATTATATTAAAAGATGCATTATATAAATATTACTTTATTTGAGTATATTGTAAAGATATATATATATTTATATTATTATTAATTGTTTATATATTATAACTATATTATTATTGAAACTCTTTTCACTAATCCTCTGACCACATATAAAAAAGATTTTTGTAAGAGATTTTTATATTTCTAAGCTAACCACTCTCTTTAAATCAACTTGAGAAAGCTTCAAAAGTTATTAACTACTTTCCCTTCCCTTGCTTACTATTTTCTTCAAACAAAAATCTGACCTCTAATAACCATAAAGGTCAAAAAAAACCTTTCCTACCAATTGCAAGAAAGTTCTGAAAGAAAGAAAAACTAATGTATTATCATCTCACACTACAGAGAAACACTATAGAAGGGTTTTGTGTAATGAGAGACAACTTTTACACTCTCTTATCCCTTGTTATCTTTTTATAATACCCATTCTTGGTTTTTCTGTAGAATTTTGTCTACCTCAGTTTGACCCTGAATTTTAAGTAGCACAAAGTTTCTCACACTATGATTAAATAGATAGTTCATATTAGTAAAAGAATGTAAACAAGCTCCCATTGGTCATCTCATATGTCTGAATGTATTTCTTCAGTTCATAAGAATCTGGGATCTATCATAAGTCATTGTGCTTGGTATGGATGAATACAAGACACCTATCCATTACATTATTGGTTCTTTCAAGAAAAAATCCATTTGACTATAATAAAGATCATAAGATACTACAACTGAATTTTATAGTTATAGTCATCTACTCTTGGTCACTAAATAGTTTTTTTCTTTAGCTCTGTTGAATAGGTAAAGATTTGAAACAAGTCTCCATGGCAAAGTTGGATTTTATAATAGGTGAGATATAGGGGTCAAATTTTTTCTTTTAGAATGACATGTCTTACTTGAGTATATACATTAGGGAGAATCTAGGAGGATTGATAAATTTTCTTTTTTGGTATGTGAATAAGATTAATTTGAGTAATTCTCCTCAACAATAAGCTATCCCATGGATTAGAGTAATTAGAATTTTACAACATGGAGATACTGAAAACAGTTGAAAAACAGGCAATACATCTTTAACTGATGAAGCTCTCGAAGAGTAATCAACTTACAGAATCCAAATGGTAGTAGTAGTATAAAATTTTAATTCTTATAGACAATCTTAGGAATGTTTTATTAGCAATAATATCCTGTATTAGCATTTTGCCTTTACTTGAGACCCTAATAAAACAAGGTTGAGTCATTGTTTAAAAAAAAAAAAAAAAAAAAAACTATATTATTATGTATGTTTTTTAGCTATTGTTCTTGAATTTCTAATGTTTTCTCAAATCTTTGTAACTTTTGAATTTTAACTAGTTTATTAATTAAAACTATTATATTATAGTATTTCTTCTAACGTCTAGAAATGTATTAATTTGTACTACCTGATTAAGAGTTATAAAAGTTAATATTAAGTTTCTTAATCTTATTGTAATTCGGATTTTTTTTCTTATCTTTTTTTCTTTTAAAGATTTTAATAAAGTGTAATATTGTTATAGTAAGTATATATTTTTCTATTTGTTAATTTGTTTATTAAGCTTTGTGGATATTTTTTGAGAAGGGTTGTATAGTTGTTAGTTTTTGTTAATATTGTTAAGTTGAATTTGGTATATCTTGTTTTTTCAAAAATTATCAAAAAAAGAAAATTTTTTTAAAAAAAATATTATTTAAATTTATATAATAAATATAAATTATATTAATTTAACTATAGATTAAAAAAAAAAATTAGAATCAAAGTTAAAAAAAAAAAGATATATTAATTAGAAAAAATAAATATTTAAACTGATTAATTAAATCTTCAATACTAGTTATGACATATTAAATATTTATATAAATTTAATGAAAAATAATTCAATAAAAAATGTTAAAAATTTTAATATTATAATAAAAAAATTAATTCAAAAATAAAAAAATAAAATTTAAAAATATAAAAAATAATTTTTAATTATATGAAAAAAGAATTTAAAACCTAATATATAAAAAAAATAAAAATAAAAATAAGTTCAAAACATAATATGATAAATAAACTAAAAAATATATTCAATTTAAAAGAATCTATTCAAATCAATCTAATATAAAAGAAAAACTTGAAGATAAAGACCTCACCAAAATCTAAAAAATAGAATTAAATATAATATAAAATGGTTGTGTTTTAACCTTTATCAAAGCTTGACAATAGTGATTTGCAGGCAATAATGTTGATAGTTAAAAAGATTGCATCTGTACTATTAATAAAACAATATATTATTTTCAAAGATGCACTTAGAGTTAATAAAACTAAAATAAGTGAGTTAATTAAGAAATTAGATTTAATGATATATATTATTATATGTACAGTTTACAAAAGTTTGATATAGTACACATAACTAACCTGACTGAGGGTAAAAAAAAAGTAAAATAAAAAATAAACTTTCTCCGAGCATTGCAGCCTTGATTCTCTCCGGATATCATGCAGGAAATAGTAAGTTAATAAAAATTTCTAAAAATTAATAATTTATTGTAGAGTCTATGTTGTTTTTTAAATTATTTCACGCAATTAAGCGGTTTTCGATCGCACGACGCGAGAATATATGAATAAAGAAGAAAAAAAATTAAATCATCGAATCCCTAATGTAATCCATGCTTGAATCAATGAATCCACTTTAGAAAGCTCTCGGACCGCCACTCGGACAAAGGTCGGTCGGTTGTACCCGGGATTACCGCTCCTCACAGGCACGCCCGCAATTTTGGCTTTGGTCACTGCTTCCTTGGCGATTTCGACGGTCTTCATATCAATCCATACCCACGACAAAAAATTTTTACCATGAAATGTCCAGGCAAGTTTTTCGTCATTACGAAATTCAACAATTGCTTTCGAGAGAACTGTTAACCTGTTAATAATTTCGGCGCGCCATTTAGTTGTAACCTCCCATGTTCGTTCCATATACTTGTGATCCTTAACAACTGCATCTAAGAATGCCAATGCCGGGGTATTAACACTCCAAGGAACCTGTATCTTTTTCAATGCGTCACAGTGCTTAGCAGTGGGACACACGACGGATCCTAGGCGTAAGCCCGCGCATGACCAAATCTTCGTCCAAGAATGTATGACGTAGACAGAAATATCATTTTCCAAGTAAATTGAGGCGAGGAATTCGTGTTGAGAGGTGAGAGAATCAGATCGAAACTCGGAAGATAACCAAGGTTGCATTGATTCATCTAAGGAAGAGTTAATATAATGAAGAAGGTTTGCACATTATAGTGCGGACGACGTGTGTAAGAAGAATCTGGCGATAAAATCCATACCGACGATAACGACGCCCCCATCTTTGACATTATCAATAATCCACTGTTTTAACTCTCCGACATTGAAATAATCTCCGGTGGGGTTACACGGGTTTACGATGCACAAAAGCGTGGCTCGAGTGCCGTCTTGAGAGCGAAGGGCATTTCGACCATTAGCTTCTGCCGATCTCTGATACTCTTTATACTAAATCGAATGCGAGAATATGGTGCATAATCGAATCCGTTCTCTTGGTATAAAAGGGTGCATTGTATGCGACTTAAGGGGAATTTACCTGAGTATCCCAAGGACCTGGTTTCCAAGGACCGCTTGGAGCAGAACGTATTACCAAATCGATTAGTTCACTTGCACCGTTTCCGAGAAGTAGTCGATCTTTATGTTTTGAATAATCATCAGGCCAAAGAAATTGAGCAAGGGAAGTCTTTGCAGGTTCCTGGTCTGCCGGTGGATAGTGATGACAAAGAAAGCACTGAAAAATCGGAATTGTGTTAAAATGTTGAAGGAATGCCGCCGGTGAACTAGAAACGATTCTCAAAGTCACTAACAGCTTCTCTGGACGCCTCTAACGCATTTTTTGGCGTTCCTAACGCGTTGGTGGTGACCGAGAAATCCTCTATAAAATTATCCAGTTGTTTCCAGTCCTGACCTCCATGAAACTGTTGTATCTTAGTGTCCCATACACTCGAAAGGGTCCCATTTTCGCTCATTCTCGTTGGCAGTGAAAAAAAAAGATTTTTCTCGTCACAGTCTAGATCCATGTGCATTATCTCTATTTAATTATTCGCAGATTAAAAAATCCAAATCGGGAAGTTGACAGCTAAAAATGATAAATCGGGAAGTTGAGATCATGTATGACAAAACTTATAAATCTGGTAAACCAGTTCTTTCGGAAACTTTTCATCATTTTAAAATAATGCACCCACACTTGGCCTATCACGAGCATCCGAGTATGTGTCGAGTGAAATAATAATAAAAAAAAAACATTCATTACAAATCTCACCTTCCCTGTCGTCTTTTATAGAATGTCTTGATGTTATCCTGCGTCTTGAGGAATGCCATCGATCTGGATTTTTTAATAGATTCTTCGGTGGCTGCAATAGCATCAAACGGGAACTCGACGAATGCTTGACCGAGGAGGTTTGCGTCTTGAAATTTTTAATGAAAGAAATATGTAACGCGGATGCAAGCAAATTTCTAATCTTAGTTCATCTCCGCGAACGACTTAAATGTGAATTCTCCTAATCGATCAGCACATTATTAAGAGACGAAAGAATGCAGAAGAGGCCAGAGAGAGGCGGAAGCAAGTTGAGAAGATATGGAAAGAAGTGGAAGAGAATAAATAAATGCTGTGAAGACAAAAATTACATTTCTTTCGACGAGGATTTTTTATTTATGACATAGCACCGCACACAATTTCAAATAAATTCAGTGAACGAATTGAAAATCCGCATTTTAACTATTTGATGAATATTTGTGACTCCGTCTCATAAGGTTTTACCAACGATTCCGTGCTCTTGCAGTTCCCTAATTTTGTCTTCGCCTATTCCTAAAATGTCCACCAGAACCTCCCTGTTGTGTTGTCCCAAATCCGGGCCAGCCCAGGTTGTTTCGCCAGGTGTCTCACCCAATTTTGGAATTATTGCAGGGATCTATATTAAAAGAAACATATAAAAAGAAATATATATATATATGTATGTATATATTATCTCGCAATTTCTTATAAACAGCGACTGCACTCTTACCTTCAAATCCCAACCGCCGTCCTCTCTGTTTTCACCCACTTTGACGGTTTCGAGCACGTTACGCGATTGCACGTGCTTATCTTCGACGATATCTTTTATGTTGTATATGTGTCCACATGGAATGCCCTCTTCCTCCAGTCTCTCGACCACCTCTTCAGAAGTATGTTTTCTTGTCCATTCCGAAATTGCGCCATCGATGAGACGCTCGTGGATAACGCGTTCTTTATTCGTCTCGTAATCCGAAGTCGTGAGGTCCTCCCTCCCGACAACTTTCATCAACTTTTTATACAGGGAATCGGTATTTCCACCGATGATGACATGTTTAGAGTCCGAACAGGGATAAGCGTTCGTGGGCACAATGCCCGTTACCGAGGTACCGGAGGGTTGTCTTATCTGCAAAGATTTTACAGCACATCATTGGCAAGTCGGTATGCGTATGCGAAAATCCAGAAGTATCCAAGATTGATTTAACATACTTCTCCGAATCGATCGTACTCTGGTAACACTCCTTCCATCATGTTGAACATACTCTCATAAATGGCCGCGTCGACAACTTGCCCTGCTTGAGCGATCTTATTTCTGGCCAAAAGACCTAAAACGGTGCCAAGGGCCGCTGTCAAACCAGTCAAGGAGTCACCAAGGGATATATTCTGGCGTACCGGCGGTTGATTCGGAAATCCGTTGATGTATCGCCAGCCCGCCATCGCCTTTCAAACAGGATGCATCCCATCAATTATCATCAAAGTGTTTGATTTGTGCCTTACACGAATCTTCCAATTTACCTCACACACTGATGCGAAACCGGGCTTCTTCGCGTATGGACCCGTTTGTCCGAATCCGGAGACGCGCGTATATATCAGCGAAGGATTGGTTTTATATAGTTCTTCTGGAAAGATGCAGGATGTCCGATGATGAATGAATGAGCGAATGGATTGGTGAGCGAGTGAGAGGATTTCAATTCACACACAATCGATCGAATCCTACCGGGCCCGAGTCCCCATTTTTCCATGACTCCGGGGCGGAAATTCTCTATCAGAACGTCACTCTTATCCGCCAATTTTCGAACAAGCCTGAGAATCCGCGGTTACATGATGCATTGAACGAGACGAGTATTAAACAAACATTACAAATATCCATGACTCACGCTCTTCCTTCGTCCGTCCGTAGATTGATTTCGCATGATTTTTTGTTTCTACCGATTGACCGAAACCAAGGGCTGATACCGTCGATATCAATTTTACGCCAAATGCGAATGGGATCGCCGGTTTCGGGTGGTTCCACTTTTATCTGAAAACTAATATGGTCAAACCCTTGATTCAGAAAAATCATCCATCCATCATATATCGTGAAGTTTTACCACTTCTGCACCATAATATCTTTTTCATGAAGATACATTTAACGGCGACAACGTTCATCAATTAGTACAATTTTCTCGAAGAATACCGATGATGATTAAAATTACTCTTTAAACTACCCAAGGATTGTTCCGCAAAATGGACCGGCGATCAGCTTTAACGGGAATCAACGTTTTTTCGGTTAATCTCCCGTGAAATTTTTACTCGCTCAGGAATTTTAGGAAATTTACGATACCTGTCCCACTTCCAGAACGCGAATACCATCCAATGGTTTCGGTGCCCTCGTCAATTGAGAATAATAACGTGCATTTGACGCTACAGAAAATCGAGTCATTTATGAGTTGCTTCGACCGGATTCGATAATTGGGCATTTATAGAAGAATCACCTAACAATCCGATTCCATTTTTAAATGCGATTTTTTTAAGCCGGAAGAACACTCTCGAGCTATCCATATTGCACAACATCAGAACATATAATCATTTGGCACCTATTTATATTATTTTGCGTAATCACAGGATCCTGCCATGTGCCAAAATAGGTTTCGTGAAACATAATTCAAAATTCCACTCACGTAGGCATGTAGGTATGTACGCATAGAAAAAAAAATTTTTTTTTTTTTTTTTTTATTAAGGAGATACCTCACATGATAATATAAAGGCATCAAATGATTTTGGGAAAATAATCCTCCAAGAATATGGTCGCAAGATTTTTTAACCTAACGTTATCTGAACGAGATAAATATTCTATGCGTTTTCTGACCGAATCGGATAAGGCAGCTAGACGAGGAGAGATGTTAAACCATCGATTTACCATATTTGTGCACGAGATCACAGTTGTTCATCACCTTTTTCGTCATCATCATTCTGGGAAATTAAAAACATCAACGTGGTGATCGCCGAGAGTATTATATCCTCTTTTTCGCTGAAAATACAATCGATCACCAGCGGAACACCGTCGTTATTCATGATGTGTTCCTTATTGCGCTTTTCTAAATCAAACGACGAGTTGGTCATGTGACATAAAGGCATGATCACGTGTTTTGAAAAGAATGAGAGCAGAAACCTAAGCACAGGTTGCATAGTCCGCTGAGGCCAAACTCCTTGATCTTTTCATCTGGTTCGGTCAATGTGTCTGTCAAAGAGCTGGTGAATAAAAGGGAAGAAAGAAGCGAATTTCCGCGATAGAAGTGGTTCTTTTCGATACGAACCAAGGAACAGATCAACGACGTTTAGTTCCCAAAGCCATTCATAATTTATAGGATCATAAGCAAAGTTGGCCAAATTAGCGAGAACTTGATATTTGGCCTCTAAAATTAATTGATAAATTTAGCGTCGGGATCGTTGTTGAAGCGAGATGTTCATCGTCGCACCTTGGTCGCTTGTGTTCTGATATTCGTTAACGAGTTCCTGGAGGTATTCCAGTCTGCAAGATTAAGAATGACTGGGATTACCATGAATGACAATCCGTGGAAACAAGATTAACCAGATATACCTTGGAGTGCCAGATTTGCCAGTGCGCTTTTCCAATTGACGATGCGTTGAAAACATTTTTTTTTTTGAAAAAATTATCTGTAGAAGTAGCGTACGTATGTGCGAATGCGTATCTACATACAGTACAATGCGCACGCCTGTATCACATAGATGATTTGCCCGATCAAATTCATATCACTTGATCGCACACCACCCTATGCGAGACGGCTCCTCTCCATTTCTTTTATAATATTTCTTCCTTTAACATCAAGCATAGAGAAATATGTCTCACCTGGGTACGACGAATTCCACTTTAAACGTTGCCGTCCTGAGGGAGCTGGCAAGAAAGGAGTTGACAAACGTCCTCGATTCAGTATGGGATCTTTCTTTTAGTTCGCTGCCTTCCGAATGGTTTAACATGATATGAAATTCTGGCATTTTAACAATCACCTTTATTTTTTATTTTAGATAAGGGGAAAAAAATGCTTGGTGTTGGATCCCAATATAAGTGGACCGCTGAGTCTTATCGCCGAATTTTCTTTGCTAAAGGTATTCACGTTATCTTAACGACTTCCCGTAGTTCCCCGAATAAAATTCCAATTTAACCAACTTTAATTGATCAATATGAAGGATCACGGTGTTGAAAAAATCATTTATCTTCAACAAGGAATATTGGAGACCGACATCTATAGCTTCATCTATATTTGTCGACCACAGTTGCAATATATGAAGTACATCGCAGGTATTATAAGAGATTCGAATTGGTTTGAAGACGGGCGAACAGGATATCTAATAATGTCAGCATGACTTTATTAGAACATATCCAAGGACATCAGAATGAAAACTTGTCCAGATCCAATGCTCAAAGGTACGAATATAGCCTCTTTTTTGTTCCACGACGGACCAGGATTTGTCAAAAAGTTTTAGAGGAGACCGGTGTTTATGGTGATATCCTTTATTTTCATCATGAAAAAACAAAAAATGAAAACGCTCGGTGATTACCCGCCCAATTCTCTTCAAAGTCGTCCTTGACTATTTTACCCACATATTACCATTGGAGAATATCACCTTGATTTGATTCCCTTTGAGGATGATCTCTTGTCCTTAGAATTGGACAACACTTTTAAAGAACTTTATCTGGTATTCATCTCTTGATGCAAATAAACGCTGGATGACGATTTCAAAATATAAATAACATCTCGCATTAATATTTATTTGACTCTGATAGGATGGAGATCATACTTCGATTTACTATGCCGCGAGGGCACTCATGAAACTCCAAAATTTGTTTGGACTGTTTCCCAGGGTGATAGGGAAAGGGGATTGTGCAAAAGTAGGAAAAGAGAAAAAGAATTATATTTCAAATATCATTTTTGTCGGGGAAGGCTATTCATCGAAGATTCATTTTTTTTTTTTTTTTTTTTTTTTTCGCGCAGCACCTTGCCGACATGCTCCTGCGCATGCGACGTGAGGTGGCGGTTGACGACCCATCTTCGACGCCGTCCGTATCACCAAACATCGATTCACTTATCATCATCGATCGATCCGTTGATCTTATTACCCCCTTGTTTACTCAATTGACATATGAGGGATTAATAGATGAGGTGTTTGGTATTCGAGCCTCGCATGCGGAGGTGGACTCTTCGATTGTAGGGCCAGCACCGCAAAAACCCGCGGCAGCGGCTAACTCCGTAACATCCACGGCAACGGCCTCCCCATCTCAACCTCCACCTCAACCTCAGGCAAAGAAAAAGAAGGTCGTCCTTAATTCTGGTGATAAACTGTTTAGCCGGTTGAGAGATATGAATTTCGCTGTAGTCGGTGGTGTCCTTAGTAGCGTCGCCAAGAGGATCAATGACGACTATGAGGCATATATTGTTGCACATTAGCTCTTCTTTGTCCTATTGTATGCGTTGAATGGAAGATAACATCTCTTATCAATTGGGCGCGTGTCACACAATTAGGGAAGGCATCAAGCAAAGACCATGGGGCAGATTCGAGAGTTCATTAATAAATTGGGAGGATTACAATCGGAACATCAATCTTTAAGGATCCGTATCCTTTTGTTCGGAATTTTTCGGGCAGTTCGATTGATTTGGAAAATTTTTTTCCTCAACGAAATGTTCAGACACAGGTATTGCCGAGGAGATAGTGGGAGTCACCGTTACCCCCGAATTTAACAAGGCTCTAGAGGTGCAACAAAGTGAGCACATGTACCCACCAATCGATTTCGACAACGTGTGATTCAATATTAAATTATATCATTCATGATTCTGGAATTTGTGTGTTTTAGATCTGGTTGCGGGTATAGACGTAAATACGCAGAATGAGTACATAGAGGAAATGATCAATCGACAGGCTCCGCTTGTTCAAGTCCTACGACTGTTGTGTCTTCAGAGTCTTGTAAACGGTGGGTTGAAACAAAAGAACTTCGAATTCTTCAAGAAAGAAATCTTGCAGGTAAATTTTTTGTCAATGAACAAACGAAATCAACCGTGTTCACGAATACACCTCTCCTCCCCTACACTTTTCCAATTTTTTCACACCAAAATCCAGACCTATGGTTTCGAACACCTTCAAACACTTTTGAATCTCGAAAAGCTTGGCATGTTCGTAAAGCAAGTTTCGAATCGTAACCAATATGCATATATTCGAAAGTCACTTCGGTTGATCGTCGATGAAGTTGACGAACATAATCCTCAAGACATCTCATACGTATATTCAGGTTACGCTCCCCTGAGTGTACGATTATTGCAATGCGTGTCTACCAAAGGCGGTCCATCAGCAATTAATACTTCCAACGTTTCGGGTGGCGCAACCGGAGCCGCAGCTAATACAAGCACCAACATTCGGAGTAATGGATGGAAAGGGTATGAAGATGTGTTGAGAATGATTCAAGGAAAAACATTCGACGAGGTTCAAAGGTTAGAGGAGGGTGCTATTCGTCCTAAGAGTAAGTACGAGAATAAATGTTTCATAGAATTGACAACTCTCGTTCTAACATGATTATATATCATACAGGATTGATGCAAGGGCAACAACCGCATGTCACCCTCATATTTTTCTTGGGTGGATGTACCTATACCGAGATTTCGGCGATACGCTTTTTGGCGCAGCAAGATGAGAGTACGTTCAATCATATTCGGTATTGTTCATAGACCGGTTGGCTGAATCACTAACCGAATAATTTAAATCTTCAAATTTTATCAGGTCACCACGAATTTGTTATCGCCACAACTCAGATAATCAACGGAAACTCATTATTAAACTCGATCATACAGAAAGTCGATCATCCTGGAGTGACGGCTTGACTATCGTAAATATCGGCGATCATTTAATGTAGTAAATATTGTACATTATATATTTTACATAGAGATACGAATAATATATGTATTTTGGGGCGAGTGTATAAATAATCTATGCTATCAAATGCTACTTTACAAAAATCGATTCACTAATGAAACAAAAGTGTTTATAATTTACACATTTCGTCAAAGTCACAACCGATGTTGCTCCCCAACAGCTGTTTGAACCTATCCCATGAACAAAACGTGTAAACACATCCCGGTATGACAACCGGTTTTTCATTGACCAACATTTGAATAAAAATGGTGCTTTCATAATTATCCGTGCAGTTATAGATCTCAAAATAAATGTTGGATGCGAATGGGGCAATTTTGCTTGTTCGAAACTTTCTCGATTTCGATCGGTAAAATCTGTCGGCATCTAGAGGATAATCGTCTTTGAATAGACCCTGCGTAACAAAGAAAAGAAAAAAAAATTTTTTTTCTTCAATCAGTCGAATTTTAGAAAGTTCCTGCCTCAAGAATTATAAGAATAATAAGCCCACCAGTATTGTTGTCAGAAAGATTATCGTTTCGGCATGTGCAAATTTCATCATGCTTTTAATTGAAGATTTTCCGTCCAGGAAATCGTCCACCGATTTCACCAAACCAGTATAAAATTGACAGGCCATTCTAGCATTGAGCGGTGACCCATAGGAAAAGCCATAGTATTTAATCATGTCATGAAGGTACTCCAATTTTAAAAAATCCTCTTCCTCCAATAAACTGCACCAAGTATCAATTCTACCGGAGTACGTCACAGCGTATGAGCAGGCGCGATAAATGTGCTCCGCGTGAATCGCTTCCAATGGCGGTCTTATTCCAAGCTGATTGCTGATTCTTCTGGCGATCTTGGATAGGTGGGTGTGAATGTAGATTTCCACCTGCTCTTTGAGAACAGAGCTATTCTCAACCGTGGCAGTCCATAAAGGGCAGGCGTGATGCATTAACAATTCTTCATCTTGATCCTTGAGGTCATCGGAATTAGCGCAACCAAACAAAAAGCAATTGAAAATTGCGTGACTACGTACGTGTGTTCACATACCACTGGCCTGGAGTGTATGTATACCGGCTGTAACATTATCCCGTCTAATGTCCCGTAACCCGTGAGCAAGCCCATGGAGTAAGCAATCCCCGATTGTCCTGACCTGAAGATTTGATGATTAACGTACACGATTACTCTCTGTCGATAAATGCACCGAGTTGCATTCGACCCAACTGGCGACGTGCGTTTGCGATCTATGACACTATACCTGGAGACTTGGGTGCTCTTGAATTCTACGACGTTCGCGTCATAGGTGATGTTACTCCAGAATTTGGAATAGCGCTTGCGTGACCGTTTGCCCAACAGATAAAGTTCACGCTCACCCCGCTGCGTCAGGAGTGACGCTTGAGATTGACCGAACGGACTTCTTTGCTATACGAAAGAATAGATGTATTTTTATTTTAATTGGTTGAATAATGTGAGCTCATCGAATCCCTAAAAATTTTTTTTTTTTACCCAATCCTTCGACAGGGAAGCATTTTCGAACAATTTATCCAGGACATCGAATTTCCTAATGTCGCCAGCCGAGGGACACCTTGCACCTAAAAATGGTATCATTTGACATTGTACGAATTGTCCGAGATCGATTTTACCTGTTATCTTTTCGAGAGCGTACCATGACGGGCTACCAAATGCAGTTGTATTAACTTGCAGAATTCAGGTATTTCGGCGGAAGGCGCTGTCTCCGATTCAATTGGATAAAGGCCTTTCGTGCCCAAATGTTTCGTGAGATCAAAATTGTAGATCTTTTGCGATATACATAAATATAAGAAACCCGAAAGGAAGATAATCTGAGGAAACATTTTAACCAACGCTTACATTCCATTGTGGACGGTGAGACGTAGGTGTAGATAGATATACGTACAGAAACGATCGACCGCAGAATCCTACCCGGATGGGTCATCAGAACACATTCAATTATAAATTATGTTTTTTATATTACATAAAAATTTATGATTAAGTATATTATGTAATATCATGATATCAAATAATGAATTTAATTCAATCTTAATTTGGCCAAAGCGTAAATTATGTCGCATATATCGATACCGATAAAATCGCAATTCGTTAGAATTCTTCACGGAGATCGAATTAAATAAAACTTTTATTAAATTGGATCGAATTCAAAAGGTGTCAAAATAGTGGTGCGACTTTATGCGCTCTGGTTGAGAATTTCGGGTGATTTGCTGTACATCACGTCACCATATAAATTTATGACACCAGCTTATTGGACGAATTTATCACACTAAATTAGATTTCGATAATCACTAATTTCAAACATGACCGGGGCGACCGGAAAAATTTCGCAAAAGATTTTACCTGCATCGCTGCAGGTCCCCTCGGTAACTTTGAGGGGAACAGCAGAAAAATACATCTCTGCTCAACAAAGAGCGTACCTGGAGAAGAAATACGAACCATCGGATTTTAAACCAACATTCAAACGCGTGGATATGTGGGGACGGGCAAGGTGGAAAGCACCAAAGATTAGTAGGCGAAGATTAAATGATATGAGAAAAAATTGTGAGTATTTGAACATAGATCCACAGGAGATCGGTCTACTCGCTAAACCCGAAAGGAAGCTTCTTAGGGCAAAACCCAATAAGGGCAAAAAACACGAAAGAAATGCGCCTGAGAGGTATCTGAGAAGGCTTTGCAGAATTGACATTGCATAATGCGTAATGAATAAAATTAAATACACCGTCAATTAATTATGTAGAAAAGCAAAGATCACAAAGGCTTTGTCGGAGATGCCACAAACTATCGAAACTTGGCGACTAGTACGTATCATATCTACGTTCATTGTATGCACTTAAATAACTGTTAACATGCATTTGCGTTGTGATTTACAGGAGAGGCAAAAAGAAAAAGAGAAGAACAAATCATCATTGCCTTTTTAAATTTACCATCAATGTTATTATTAGCATGACATTTGGCCATCATATTTACAAATACAATTTGATCAATTCGTCACTTACGCCCGAAGGCGTTAGCACACCAAGATCTGTACATAGCAAAGTAATGTAATCTGGTGGTGTGTAATCAACTGTTGGATTAATCGCCTGTCAGTTGACGAATATCAATATATTAACGCTTGATGTTGTTAAATTGGAAATTACTCTCTGATTTCAAGAAAATATGATGATGAGTAATACCTCATAATCGCCTATGTCGACGTCTTCTTCATTAACCACCTTTTGTTTAAGTTCATCAGCCTGTGAATGATGTTCCAAATCTGGGAATGCAAGTAGGTCAGGTGTATGAGTTGGGAGGTCGTACTGATTCAAAGGGAATAGGCGAACAAATTTGTAGCTAGACGAAAAATGGGATTATTGTCAATCAATCATCCAAAATGCACTCAACACTTTACCGGGCAACTTACCTTTCAATAACAGCGTAAAATGGTTTGTTGGCGGCTTTGGCGACAACGGCTAGCTGATAAGTGCCGATCTGGAACATAGAAGAACTCTTTAGAGCAGTTCGTGATGCATCCCGCAAATACACTGAATGATGACTAACCGCATTGATCAATCCACCGTTTTCGACGACACCCTCGGCCCCGACGAAAACAGCATCCACCTTATCAATAATATATCCAACCGCTGCATCATAAATTACAGTCGCCGGGACTCCGGCTTTTAATAACAGTTTGGTAGCCCTGATTCTGAATAATGTGAAATCGGTTAACCAACTTGAACGGGATATCTCAAGGAACAACAGTAATACTTGCCCCAAATAAGTAGGTCTAGATTCAGTAACATAGACCTTGAATCGCTTCTTCTGAGCGGCCGCTCTTTGGAGAAGCAGCATGACCACACGCGAATAAGAGTGAATTAATATTGTCTGAATGCACCATTTATATTAAATTCAGGTCATGTTATGGCATCGATTTAATTCAAACCAATGTTGGAAGATTGATACGTGCTGCATCGTCTTTTATGAACTGTACGCCTAGTTCGGCAATCTTCTCGCGCACAGCCGCTGCCTTTTCAACAAGTTCCTTCCCACTGTTTATCAAGTGCTCCTTATATGCTTCAAAATTCTATAGACAAAAAAAAATCTTAGAATCTGAGATAAACCAAGTACACGAAACGCTCGATCCCTTTACAAACGCGATTCATTTACCCACCGTGACATCGTGAGAGGTTCTCGTAACAAACCTTAAAAACAGATCGGCCCCTGCTGATAACGAAATAGAATTTCTGACGGAATTCTTGAGTTTTTGATTGGCTTCTTTCAGTGATTCCATGAACTCCGATAACGTGTTTGCTACCAAAATTAAAAATTTCAACCACCATTTGGTAATCGGAATTAAGAAATATGGCAATTCTCTGAAGTCGACCCACCTTTACTATGCTTTATCAGTTCGACCAAGGATTCTATGGCGGCGATAGGCATGGATACATCCTAACCTCAATATTTAAAAAGTTCGAATTTTCATCGATCCAATATTTCCCCACCGGATATGTGAAATTGTATTTAAAAAAAAAAAACCTACCGGATCATCTTTTAGAAATTGTTGATAGCACGTGACGATATTAAATTGTTCGGCATCCGCCTTTGTATTTGCTATTTTCAATCAAGATTGGTCGTTACGATTTGAATATAGGTCCGGACTTTTTTTTTTCTTCACCCTTGACGATTCGAGACTCATACCTTCATCTGTGATTGTCATTTGTACTGTGGCTGGGTGCGATCAAATGGCGGTACATTTATACTAAAATATGGTAACACAGTAATCACCTATCTCATTTTTTTTGTATATACTGTATGTTTTTTAATCCACAATCAGATTTACATATTGAAGAGCCTTTTTAAAAAAAACTCTTTCCGCTGATCCCCTTTTTCCTTAAAAATTTCCTTTTTTGATAATTTTCTTGGAAAAGAGAAGTCAGCCTAAAAAAACATCTTATTCCTCAAAAATTCAAGACTTAATAACAACCTAGAATATTCAACCATTCCTCAAGAAATCATTCTATCATTAACAGAAGTTTTGATAGTACTGCATTACAATAGTTTTACTTTACAAGGGAAGGAAAACACATCTACAAGCTGATTCACAGTAAGCTTAGGAGAGTCCAATATCAACTTTCCAAGCTTTTAGTCAGGCCAGTATTGGTTTACACCTTTCTAGGTACTAGAAGGAACTTTACAAACAATAGTTCCTACCGATAAATCAGGAAAAACTTAAAGTTTACAAAATCCAGAAGGACATCAAAGGTTTCTAAGGATTAAACAGTAGAGTATTCTGATTCTATATACCCCTGTCTAAACATTAAAACAAGTTACACAAATGTGTACACATTAACCAATTCAGCATCAAAACAACAAAGCAAGGTTTATCAAGTGTCTATATATAAACGACTTATTTTTCATAATAAAGGAAATCACAGGAAGGATTAATGACTCATCTGAGTAAACAAGACACTAAACAAGACAACAAACAATTAATTACACATACCTTGCTAAATATAAACAAGTAAACAAATAAAGAATAAACAAAACAACGAATCAGCATTTTATTCTCCTTTACATGTGATCAATATAACAAAGGAATGGAAAATTATGCAAATTGCTAAGAAGAGAGAGCTACATATCCTTGATACAATAGTCAGAATAGTTGAAAAATATAATTAGAGAAAAGAAATATGGGCTATCCAAATCATCTTCAACACTCTTATCACACAAGATAAATCCAATCAGACATTAGAACCAACAGAATACTCAATACTCAATAGTATCCTTGCAAAAATTTTAAATGTAGATCCAATTACATTCCTTAAAACAGAGATCCTTAAAACAATACAATAGTCAGAATAGCTAAAAAACTGATCAGAGGAAAAAAACATAGGCTACTCAAATCATCTTCAACACTCTTATTACACAAGACAAATCCAATCAGACATCAGGATCAATAAAATACTCAATATTCGATAGTATCTTTGCAAAAATTTTAAATGTAGACCTAACTACATTTATTAAAACAGAGGTCCTTAAAACACATATTCTATACTTATGGACACAAGGTCAAAGAAAAGAAGAAGACCTTATGGCACCTTTCTTAAAAGAAAAAGTCAGATGTATCTTGAAGCAAAATACTTACATGAATGGTCTCCCCCTTCATACTCTGGAAATTTTTCAGACCAAGGATGAGTTTATAAACTCTATAGTAGAAAATTCAACTTCAGATGAGAACACTATTCCAAATGAGGATATGAAAGTTCAATCAATAACGAGATTGAAATTCCAAATAATATCGAAGTTGAAATAGGTGATAAAGATATGGAGGAAAAGCTGGAGATAAAACTTGAAATGGTAAACATCTAGAAAAGAGTTGAAGGAAAAAATATAGTAGAACAAATCTCCTACAATACATGAAACAGATCCAAGTCATCCAGTTTAAATCCCTTTTATATTACCAAGAAAGGAGAATTCAAGGTTGGAATTTTCATCTCTAGAATACCAGAAGATACAGAAAAAGAATGTTTAACCTATCTCCAAGATACATTGAATCTACCTAAAGACATGTTATCATTCAAAAAAAATTTCTTCAATAATAATGCCTAGACAACTTTCACCTTTGAAGAATTGGAAGATACCCTACAATATATAGAAAAGATTAACAAGAAAGAAGGAGAAAAAACTTTACCTTGATATCTATATAGGCAGAGAAATGGAAAACTTCAAATTCACTATCAGAAAAGAAATTCTTTAAACAAGGGGTAGCAAAAGAAGAAAACAAGACAATGATTGTCATATTGATAGATCTTGACCACAGTTATACTCGTCAATTAATCAAGACTGCCTTACAAAAATATAAAAAGGTGTCGAGTATCCATATTTACAACCACTCTCACTCTCAAAAAAAAATCAAAGCCCAACGCATCCCAAATCAGCAAAACTTGGAGGATAGATGATTTATTCATGTTAAAGTAGATACATTCAGGACAATTTTCACTCAATATGAACCAGATGACCATAAAGTCGATGCCATTCTCAAAAACCATAACAGCCAATTCTTATGACTGTATGGTATACACAATACCTTCACAAGTCTTATAGCAAGGGCAATGCAGTATGTAAAAGCCAAAGCATGTTACATATCAAGAAACCCTTTCACTTTAAAAAGAAGAGAATATGCAGTAGTCTGTTTCGCAGCAGCAGAAGATTTGTACAAGGCCCTGAGACAACATATATCTATACACAATCACAAACTCAGCTGGAGTGCTAAAGAGCACTTTAGGAAGGATACAGTGCATGACAAAAAAGTGACCAACACAGAGAGTAGTAATTATAATAAAGAGAAAGTCTATTCTGAAACAACATATATTGAACTGTGCTCAAGACAATTAGGCCAAACTGATATCAGAAGCAACAATAGAACAAACTGGTCTATAACATCTGAGGATGATTCAGTAACTGAAAGTGACTTTAAGAAAAGAACAGATCTGGGAAAAAAGGCAAAAGGAAAAAGACGCAACTTCCAAGGTAGCAAATACATAGTTGAAACATTAAACACTCCTAGACACTTTGCTACCAGTAGTAATAGAGAACTAATCAATTATTGTAACAAAAAAAGAATTTTGCATAATAGGTCGCAAAGTTTTTATCTGGAAAGTGAAAGCGATCAAAATTCCTAATGTCAGATCCTAAATAATCTCAAGCGATTAAATACTAGAATAAATATAATTGAGGAGAAAACAGGTAATCAGAATAGGGTAAGAGGAAGGTGATGGAATAATCACTCCTAAAAAGTACCAGTCCAATCAAGGTACATCAGGCGAGAGTTTGATCCACAAGAAGAATCAAGCTTATCCTGAAAAAAAAGAGCAACCATAGAAACAATAACAAAAACTAATAAAACCCTTCCCGATACAACACACACCACACCACTAGATGAATTCATCAGTACAATTAAAACTATACTATCGACAACTCCACACTAGATGACACTATTACTATTGAAACACATAATGTTAGAGGTATTAACATTAGTCTTGAGTAACAAAGACTATTTAGACTCATACAAGATCTCGATATAGACATCCTTGGGATCTGTGAAACTAAACTAATAGAAGAAACAGTAGACTTTACTTTTAACTTACAGCAAACACACAAATTCTTTCACAGTTGTAATAATGAAAAACCTAGAGAATCTGGAGTAGGGTTTCTCATTAAGAAAAATATTGAGAAAAAGTTAGAATCAATTGAAAGAATAGAAGGATATATAATAGGAGCCAACTTTCTATTAACAAGAAACAAACTTTATATCTATCAAGTGTATTTGCCATTTGAGAAAACTAAAAGTAGATGGCTACAATAGCTACTTCAAAACAAGATTCTAGATAAGCAAAGAAATCACTTCAAAGTTATAATTATGGATGACTTTAATGCAGTCATCAATCCAATAGTGGATCAATTACCACCCACAAACAAAACAACTCCAAGATATAGAAAAGCAGAAATAGGTATTTTCAATTTCCTAGAAGACTGGAATTACATAGATATCCAAAACTCCTGAGAAGAAGAATGGAATACCACCTTCACATGGGCAAATAACTCAGCACACAATAGAATCGACTATATCTGGACACCACCAGAAATTAGTCTAAACAATATATACGAGTTCAAAAACATTCCAGTGGAGACACTACTGGGTAGTAACCATACCTACTATTAATAAGAATGACAATAAACAATTTGCTCAAAAACCAGATACAAGAGCAAGTTAGAATAAAAGGTAAAAAAATACCAGATCCAGAAAACTTTACTGTGAAACAATGGAACAAGTTTTTGGAAATTGATATATAGATTTCCTGACATGAAACTGAGAACAGCTCTCAAGAACTCAAAAAGGCCTAACAAGAACTTGAAACCATAATCATTAAGGGTGCATACAAGTTTCTCAAAAAGAAAAGAATCTATTTCACCCCCAGCAGAAGAAAAGAAGTTAAGATGGGATCAGTAATCCCAAAAAAGGACTTCAAAGCTTACAGGAAAGCCAATAAGATCTACTTTTTTCTAAAGAAAATCCAAGTTAACTGGGATATAAAGACAACAGAAGACATGAAAAATATAGAGAAAACCATTCAGAATCTACAAGGCACTTATGAATCCCTTGATGAAGAACTAGCACCTCCCCATTTACAAGAAGAGATCTCAGAGCAATTGAGAAAAATCACTAAGATAGAATGTACCCTCAGAATGATATACAAGAAAAAAAAAATCTTCATATCAGAAACCAAATCAAGGAGGCTCTAGATAACAGATGTGATGATCTTAGATCCAATCAGAAGTGGATGCTAGGTTCAGTCTTAAACTGTAAAAAACTAAGAATTACATTAGATTGGATGCTAACTACAAATCAGGAAGGGAAAGAATATATTGCTACTAATCCTCTAACTATCAGAAGCAAGGTTGAAGAATATCACAAAAGTGTATTTAAAAAGAGAAATACCAACTTTGAGAATCTAAACCCCTCTTGGAAAAAAGAATACCAACCCAAAGAATGAATTGATCCAACATGGTATTCACCTTTAACAAAAGAAATCAAAGTAGAAGAGCTCGAA